ATCTCATTTCGGCATGAAATGTTTACAGCACATAATATACCAACAGAGGACTCTACAGTTCAAATTTCATGGCAATCGGACGAGTATTCAATTTTTAATGATTTTTATAAGAATCGGCAGCAATACCCGATTCAAAAACACATCAACGACCACATAATCAACCGAAACGTCCAAGGCCTGAACCATAAGGCCAAGGACTTCAAATGTCCCAACAATCCACAGCCCTAATCACGATTTAAGTGAAAATCACATTCGAACACAACCAACGAATAGATCACGAGATTAAGTAGCCATTTAACAAACCCTAACATGAAATTTCCCAACAAGGCTCATCACATAGCTCATATATACTGAAAATAATAAAGGATTATCAGCCTTGTACTGTTTTCGGGGAAATTTCACAGAAAAGGTTTGAACGGGGCCGAGGGTGTCGTGGGCACGCGGGGGAAGGGCCTGCGGGCGTCGGCTGGGCGTGCGAGCGGGACGTTGGGCGTGTTGCTAGCCTCGCGAGGGACGTTGGACGCCGCTGCTACGTACGATCAGGTCGCGATAGTGGTGGTGATGGCGCACGACGACGGAGGGTGGCGGTGAAAGCTAACGAAACGAAAAAAGAAAAGGGGAGAGATCGAGGGAGAAGAGAGAAGAGGAGAAAAATATGCTGGGGAAAAATTATGATGAAGGGAGGGGTTAATATCACCCATAAATAGAGCTCCCTAAGGTATGGTAAGTCTCCAATTAAGCTCTTACCATAAACATCACAAGGAGGGGAAAAAGGAAAGGCCCCAAATTGATCCTCTTTCCAAAAACACAATGAAAGGAGAGGGAAAGGGGGCGGCTAGGGTTGGCTGGGCGCGGCCTTCGGGCGTGGCTCGCGGGGTTCGACTGGAGGCTCGGTTTGACGAATAAATTAAAATTAAAATAATAATAATAAATAAAATATTTAAAAAAGTATTTAATATTTAAAATAACATCTCCACAATTAATATTTATTTTAAATACACATAAGGCACATAAATTCATTTAGGAAATTAAACAATTAACAATAATGGCAACAATAATGATAACAATAACAATAATGATAATAATAATAATAATAATAATAAGAATAATAATAATAATCTAATTTATTCATAAACGAACGGGGCGTTACATAAATGCGGTAGGCGTAGGCAAGAGCAGATGGGGCGCACGCGCAGGGGCGAGTCGGCGCGGGCTGGGCTCGCGCACGAGCGCTTGTGTGCGACGCGTTGAGGCGGCCGAAGGGGATGAGGCGGCCGAAGGGGATGAGGCGGTCGAAGAGTTTGGTTGGGGCGCAATTATTTAGGTTCTAGAATTGCTTGGTGTGCAAGCCAAGCATTAGTATTTTGGTAGTAGTAGGATTTTATTGCTTTCTAGTATTAGGATTTCTATTATTGCAAGATTTAGGAGATCTAGATCTATTAGACTTAGATTTATTTTGCACCTATAAATACCCATGTACCTCTTTATTAATAAACATGTTGAATGTTGAGTCTTGGAATTGATGAGTGAATCTCATAGGGGGAACTTGTTGTTCTACGTGTGTTTAAACAAGGCCGTTAGTGCGTGTTTACATACAGTGTCGGAGAGAAGGCCATTAGTGCGTCTTGAAGTCACAGTGTCTAGGAGAAGGCCAAAGTGCGTCTGTTAGATACACCTATCGTGAGTAATCGAAGGCCCTAAGTGCGCGATTATTTACAACCCAGAAATTGATAAAAACTCGATCATTCATCATTGGTGCTTTCGTTGAGAGGTGCTGATCGTGTCTTTATCTATCTATCTTTTTTCTTTTTTTCGGTTTTGCCTTTTGCTGAGGGACAGAATTTTTGTTATTTTTTGTTTGAAATTTTCGAATTTCTTATTCAAATTTTTCATTTTTTTTTCGAAATTGAGTCTTAAAAAAAAGTGTCATCTAGTCCTTGTTATTTTTTTCGGTTATTACCTTTTGTTGAGGGGCCGAATTTCTCTTTGTTTTTGAAATTTTTGGTTCAAATTTTTATTCTTAGAGTCATAAAAAAAAAGAGAGAATCATGATGTTTGAGCCATTAGTTGAGTTGGATTGGGAGGATCTCGAATACCTCGAAAATTTGGAGAGGGAATTAACCCTTTGGGAGCAAGAGTATTTGGAGGAGATGTACGAGCAAAAGGAGGAGTATGAAAGACAACTCAAGATCATGAAGGAGGAGCAACAAGTCGAGGCCGATGAGAAGTTCCCAGGATCGTACGAGCAAGAAGCCGAGCACAAGGGTATCGAGATCGACGATGAACCCTTGTTCTCGTTCGAGTTGGCGGGGATTTTCGACGAGGAGACCATATTTTCGTCCGATGTTATGGGCTATGCAAGGGGTGAGGAACTCAAGGTCATCGAGGTAATTGGTGGTGCAATCCAGCGCGCGAATAACATCGACGGCGAGGCCAAAGAAGCCGAGGTAATCAAGGTCGAGGAGGACCATGGGCGTAAGTCGTACATGATGATCGAAGTGGTTGCCGAGAGTGAAGTCATG